AGTTTTTATTTTTGTTACTTGTGTTTATTATAAAATTGGTCTTAAATTTAATTTCACTTGGCATTAAAAAGTCTTAAAAGGTCTTAAATTTAACTTGGCTTAAACTGCAGGAACCCTGTCTCTTTAGGATGGAGTTCAAGAACAAAGTTCTAATTAATTGTGCAGAGATAAATATTTAAGTTATGTGTCTCTATGCTGCTCTGTCCAGACATCCATAGACATCCTGACCACAGTGGTCCGAAACACTAAGCCCCCCCTGTCAGAGCTGCTGGTGTGTCAGGCGTTCCCTGTGGCAGCACAGTGCACCTTACGCACCGATGACAACACAATCATGCAGGTAAGCAGGACTAAACGTTTCAAGTTATCCTAATCCAGACATGAGCACGATAACTTTTGTTGTTTTTAAAATTCAAAATTTTCACATCAGTGCTGAAAAAGATCTTTTTTTTTCTCCTTGCTAAGAACGGAGGCGAGTGTCTGCGAGCGTACGTCTCGGTGGCCCTGGAGCAAATCGCCCAGTGGAGGGACGAGCAGGGGAACAGTGGGCTGTGGTACGTCATGCAGGTGGTGAACCAACTGCTGGACCCCCGGACCTCGGAGTTCACGGCCGCCTTCGTGGGCAGGCTGGTGTCCACGCTGATCTCTCGAGCAGGAACGGAGCTCGGGGAGCAGCTGGACCAGATCCTGCGAGCTATTCTGAGCAAAATGCAGCAAGCCGAGACTCTGAGTGTCATGCAGGTGCGGAGGAAATGACATTACGCTGAATTACACCGGACGTTTTATACTTCCAGTACCTCACTCGCTTTTCTGTCTTTATCTTTCGTAGTCTCTGATCATGGTCTTTGCCCACCTGGTTCACTCTCAGCTGGAGCCTCTGCTGGAGTTTCTCTGCAGTTTGCCAGGCCCCACAGGGAAGCCTGCCCTGGAGTTCGTCATGACGGAGTGGATGAGCAGGCAGCACCTTTTCTACGGACAGTACGAGGGTAAAGTCAGGTCAGGCACCTTTTACTAAATGTCTGCTTTAACTTTTAGTGCCTATAATTGTTTTATCTAGTTATTTATGACGTCGATTCTCTTTATTCTGCTGCATCCATGTTGAAAAATAAGACAGTGCAGGTGTTACTGTGCATGTCTATAAGCAAAGACACACTTTAGAAAGTTCTCCTCTGTAAATAAATATTGTGTTTGTGTTAATTAGTAATGCTCTTTAAGTTATCTGATCCTGAAACATCGTTTCATTTCCTTTATCCTTGCAGTACCGTCGCGTTGTGTAAGCTACTGCAACATGGTATCAACACGGACGACAAACGTCTTCAAGACATCATGGTGAAGGGAGAAGAAATTTACAACCCAGACGAAGGCATCCGTACGCGCGCCAAATCTGCTAAGAGTAAGACCTGGTAATTTTGAATTGTGCTACAAAAAATCTGTAGTTTTTGTTTAATATGTTCTACTTTACGTTGAACAGATCCGGAGCGCTGGACCAACATTCCTTTACTGGTGAAGATCTTCAAACTGATCATCAACGAGCTGTCGACTGTTGTTGAAGCAAACGCCAGCAGAGGAAACGCAGCAGACTGGAGCCAAGGTGAGTGGAAACTGTGCAAATGACCTAAACAAAACGTATTCTTTATTCATGCAATAAGTTTTTGTTTTGTTTAATTTTACTGATCATATCCGCATTGAGGAGCACATCTTGGTTTGTTGATGAGAAATAAGAAATGAAAGTAACCCTGTTTACAGTAATGCTCATTAGTCTAATTCACACAACTGTTTGTGTTTCAAACACTGTCCACAAAGCCCGACCGCTGTTTGCAACATTTATGAATGACAGCTGGTGATTTCAACACATGAGGTGGCAAAGAAGAGACAGCTGTCATCATCTGTGGAGGGAACTAACTCCCTGTCCTGTGATCCTTCCCACAGGTTCACATAAACGATGAATACAAAATGAGGCTGGTGTTAGAAAATATATTCAGTGACTTCGTGTTGTGGTTCTCAGGGCTATGAAAATAAAAACATGTTTTTAGAAGGTGGCTTATCTAATTGGTAGACGTGTTAAAGTGTTTTTAAAGGTGACATCAACTCTGACAGATTTTTTTTTAAATAATTTTTTTCAAGTGTTATTTTGAGGTAGTCCCCTGGCTTGTTGTGTTGTTTTGATCTAAAACAGCAGAGTTTAAAGCTCAACGGGACACATTTTGTTGTGATTTTCTGCCATATATCCAAAATCCCATCAAATAAGCAGCTTTAAATATCGGGAAGCCTGTAGTGTAGCAGGTTTTTATTGGCTGATTAAGTTTGCTGTTAATTTAGTATTGAACTTCTAAATAAAGTAATAAATATTTTAGAGTCATCAACACTCCAGACATTATATTATTCATTTGTTGCTCCATATCTGACTTATTGTGTAGAGGTATGGGGTAACACATACAAAACCAACAATAAACCTTTGTGATACAAAAGAAAGCTATGAGAATTCTATCTAAAGTGAATGCTAGGGAACATAGAAACACATTTTTTATTCAATCATACAGCATAAAACTAAAGGATTTAGTTAATTAATAAAATTATTAGTTATGTTTAAAGCAAGAAAGACATTATTGCTAATTAAGTTACAAAAGTTTTTTTGTCTTAAGTTCTAATGACAGAAATAGCCAAAGTAAATATGATTTCAACAGTAAAACTGTGCGTACTACTTTAAAGCAAATGTGTTTTTTGGTTTATGGAGTAAAATTATGGAATAGTTTGGATGATGATTTGAAAAAATGTTCTACTTTAAATCAATTCAAAATACTTTAAGGAAAAAATTAAGTCTTATACACTTTTGAGTTAACAATGAGGAGAATACATTGTTTGCAGTTTATATTCTTGATTTAATGTATGCGGCCATGAAAAAAACAAATGGAGCAGGTTCATATAAGGTTTTTCTTCCTGCTCCCTTTTCACTCATGTATGTTACAAGTTTGTATGTTATTGATGAAAATTGTTGAATTCAGTGAATAAACTTATTGATTGGTTGAATTATTTTTAATGCTTGTTGTTTAAAGATAAAGCAGCCATTTTAAAACAAACTGTTTCCATTTCTCTCAGATTCCAGTGGGATGTGGGATGACCAGGAGGAGGAGGAGGAGGATGAGGAGGATGAAGACGAAGGCTTGGCAGGGCAGCTGCTCTCTGATCTCATTGCCTCTAACAAATATGGTAAAGTCTCCTGTCTTATAACTGTTTACTTCTTTCTTGGTGTTTCATGTAGAACATTGTTACAAAAATAAGCTTTTTTTTTAAATAGATGATGATTATTATGAAGATGATGATGAGGATGATCCAGATGCCTTGAAAGACCCTATATATCAGATAGATCTACAGGTAAATGCTGTTTTAATTTGGTTTGATATAATTTCACATTTAAACATCAATGAGAGATGAAATATGTTATTTGGCTTTTCTGAACAACAAGCCTCTTGTTTAAGCTGCCTTGAAGCCAAAGTCTCAAAAGTAGAAATTTAAAAAATTTACAAAATTATACTGATTTTACTGATTAAATAAAACAAGAACAGTTTGATGAGTCTTAAAACAAGTTATTCAAACGCAAACTCATTAATTTTTTTCATGCTTTATTTTAATTTGCTGATATTTGATTCTCTTACCTGTCTCCTCCTCAGGCTTACCTGACGGACTTTTTAACACAATTTGCCCAGCAGCCGTGTTACAGCATGTTCTCAGGCCACATCAACAACGCCGAGAGACAAACCCTGCAGTCCATAGGCTTGTAGCCGTGCTTTCGATCACTTCGACACGTCATCGTCCATCTTCCTCTGTGACTTTACACTCGCAATGAATTTAAACGTGAAGAAAAGGGCAGAGGAACGGGAATGAGGAGGGAAGAGACTTCACACTTACCCTCGACCTCCCTGTTTCTTCATAATGTGGTGAAGAACATTGACGATGTCAGGTTTTGGAAGAGGAAAATGACTACGGAGATCATCAAATGTCTCCATTTTGGGAAAACTTCAACTTGGATGAGCGATTATAAGCTCTTTGCGAAGAGGGACATGAATCACGACACCTGGGTGGACTACTTTGCCATTTAGATAGTCATTTTCATGTTTTGTATAAACTGACGGGAAAAAAACATGGAAAAAGCTTCCAAGAAACTTTACATTGAAGGAAAAACAAAGTGTTTTTGCAAGGAAGAATCATTGGTGGCCTTATATTCCAGAAAACTGACTGTTTCTGACAGGGTAAAGGAGAAGTTCTTAGACCGGACATCATATCTGAGGGTGTTGTATCTTTGGGAATTCACACTGTTGCCATGATGATTCAAAGCTTTGTCATTTCCTTAAACCTATCACAATTTACAATAAAACAGTTTCTAAATAAAATGCCCCAGAAGGACATTTCCACATTTTCTCTGCTGTCTTTATTGATATCTGAAACGAATAAAAGTAATTTTAAAATACTATTAACTGGGATGTGTAATTGTTTTGAACTTATTGTGATTTGTTACATTTATGAAAACTTAGGATGTAAAGCAATAACTGCTATATCTACCAATTTGCTCACTTATGTAATTTTATTTCAACTTCCAAAGCTCAAAATAGTCTCTAAAGCTGGACACATTTCATTTCTATGGCTCAATTGTAATGTGAGATATTTGTTTACTTTTGTGTAGTTGATTTATTTCATTCATTTATTTTTTATTTTAACTTAAATCGAGACTAATCTTTAGTCCATGAGGGCGGGGTTTAAATAAGATGCGTTCAGGACTCCTCGGACACTGCTGATGTATCAGTAAACAGTGGGTTTATATTTAGTATTTGAAGAAGAGATCCTTGTGCTTCCAGCTGAAACTACTGCTCAAATGTTTTATCTGAAACTACAACCTTATAAAACAAACAAAAAAAGTCTCGCTTCACGGTGAAATGGTTCATAATAAAAAACCTAATGTTACACACGGTCAGTGAATGCACCATCCTCGTCCCTACTGAACAGCGTCACCGTCCAGATGTGTCATTTTTCGAGCATCGGCTCCATCTAGTCCCGTCTCCCATCATCATCATGCTGTTTGCAAACCAGGACTATGTGTGAGAACGACTGTGTTTCTGGGTTCACACCGATGAAGGCGTTGTCTTCTTAGACTCAAGCTCGCAACGAATTCACGATGGGAATCGTGGTCTTACCGACGGGCAACATGTCCCTCGTTTCGTTGACTTTGGCGCTGCTCGCCGTCGTCTCCTGCGCCCCTCTGGGTAAGAGATTATGGCTTCGCATCCAGGCCGCACCGCTGCTGATGGTGAAGCTGGCTCCGCGGGACCGTTATTTATGCTAACATAGCTAAGTCTCTGTTATCTGTCACCGCTGTCTACTGTTGCCTTGTGGCTGTGTACTTCTGACCCTCTGAACTCCAGGTTCATTTTAGGCCTGGTGTAAAAACAAACAAACAAACAAACAAACAAAAAACACAGCGTTCGGATAGTTTGTATCAACTACCGAGTCACAAAACAGCGTTACAACTAGGCCTGCAAGTTGACTTGTTTAGTTTCCTACTGATGTTATTTTGGGAAATCTATTTTTTTTTAGTACTCAAAAATAATTAACTGTAAAATAGCTTCAGGCTCACTTTAACACTAAAGCTACCATGAAGCTACTACTACCTTAAAATGTAAAATTTCCTGTTAATGCTTGTTTTAGATATGCAAATTATTTTCCACTTAATGCATTTAGATTGATTGATTGATTTGATGCATGCTTGTCTATTAAATCCCACTTTTAGTTCTGGAAAATAGTGAATAAATTGTTTAGGGTGCCAATTCAGCTATAGCCCAAAATTACAAAGTAAGTTTTGTTTTATTTAAAAAAAATAAAATAAAATAGGGAACGTGACTGCATTTTGATGTGCAATCTGTACAAGAAATGTAAAAAGGAGCAGCATCCGAAGAGATGTTAAAGCTGCTACCACTGGCCCAATTGGAGTCACCATGGTAGCCGTGCACTAGTGTCTGTCACTCCCTGACTGGCAAACAGTTCTTATGCAAAAACTATAAGTTGGAGCTTACAAGTTCTTGACATGTGACTGAGCTAGGAGTCAGCTAAGGTGGTTTGGGCCTCCTGGACGCCCTCCTCAGGGGTTTTCCAGGCATGATGACCCACTGGTAGGAGACTCTGGTGCAGATCCAGAACTCTCTGAAGGGATTTCATATCCTCTATGGCCTGGTAACACCTTGATCTGTGAAGTGTCGCTGGGCAGAGGGATGTCTGGGGTTTCCCTCCTGGACCCTGTTGCCTACGTGACCCGACCACAGCAGAAGACGAACAGATGAATAAAATATATCTGAAGCCTGAAAGCTTGGGCGTTCACTCTGAATTCTGGAGGATTTGAGCGAAAACCACAAGTCTTATAGCAATGAAAAACATACTGGGTGAAAGAAGACAAAAAATAAAAAAAAAACTCCTAGGTCTCACTGTTATGTGAGACTCAGTGAAAGACATCAAGACATTTACAAAAGACTCGAGCGGACGCTGTCCAGGGGTGAATTTGATGCACAATGTCCATGTGTTTTTTTTTTCTTCTTTTTTTTCAGTGCTTTAAAGGGAACCTATTATGCAAAATTCACTTTTTAAAGGTTTTTTTACTCAACTTTGGGTATGTACTTCTTAAAAAAAACAGTCCTAGGACCAAAAAAATGCACCCAGGGGCATATTTACTGTAAGTAAATGTATTTTTAATGTATATTAATGACAAGTTTTATACTTCTGTCATTTTGTGATGTCACAAGCCGTACGACAACCCACCAGAACCTGTGTTCAGCTCCATATCTAGCATCCCCCGGGTGAAGCTCCACCTCCTCAGTATAAAAAGCCGTCACCGTGTTGTTGTGCAATGTGCAGCTCATTTCACAATAGGCCTCCAATAGGGCAATGGGTAGAGTGTTGGACCAGAGAGTGGGAGACCAGGGTTTGAGACTGGCACGGACACAATTTAATTATTTATTTTCAGTCGTTATGAACACGTTTTCTCATGTACCTCTATTGTTTAGCTTATTAAAGCCTTGTTAAAACCTATTTGTTCAAGCTTCTGAGGTATTTTGACCGCTGCTGCTCCCTGCTCTGGTAACAGCATGCAGAGTGAGTGCAGAGCAGAGGAGGGGGAGAAAAAAAAGAAGCTGCGACCACGACTCTGCCTCTGGGTCTCTCATATGGTTGTACAACGGAGCTTCTTCTATTATTAGCCATGCTAACGTAAAYGCTGGCTTTGGAGGGCGGAGCTAATGCCAACAGATTTTTTGGAGGGCGTTACCAACCGAGCTCATTAACATAAACAGCTCTTCTGAACAGAAGTCAGAGCAGGCAGAACTAGAAAATGGGAAATTTTATTATCTGAGAATTATTTTGTGCATTAAATTGAATGAACATGGTCTGGATAGCCCACAGACATACCATAAACATTTCTAGGACCAATAATTGGTCTCCTTTTAAAAACAAGAACTCTGAATTCAGGAATAATTGATCTGACATTTGACTTTTTTGTTATCTAACTGACAGTGATGGTAAAGTGTTGTAGAATTGAGTCTGTTTATTCTTCTCAGTAACGACTTCTTAAGCTTGAATCAGCTTGCATCCTCCGCCACAGGGAAGTGTGTTGAATAATGCATCTTATCCCTAGTTTGTATAAAATTGAAAAAAAAGTAAGACTCAAGTGTCAGCAAATGTTTGAAAGACACTTATGTTTCCTGAAGGCACAGTTAGAGTGAACTGTCGAGACATCCCCCAGCAGTGATCAAACAAACATCATGACAAAAGAAGAGATTTTAGGAATAAGTTCATTTTTATCTTCGTCCCTCTCTGCGCCTCCTGATTATCAGACCTGTTGTGTCTTGACTCGGGTTCTGGTTCTCGTTGTTTCTGCAGTCAGTGGGAACGAGGACTGTCTGTGGTACGTGGACAAAAACGGCACCTGGCACAACGGCTTCGACTGTCCTCTCATCACGTTCTGCTGCGGGAACTGCCACCGGCGCTACTGCTGTCTGGATACCTTCAAAATGATCACGGAGCGAGAGCAGAAGCGCTGCATGCTCTTCCAGTTCAGGTGAGGACAGGGGCAGCAGCAGGGTTGCAGTTTAATTACTTAATTATTAATTAGTTCGACTCGTAAAGCTATCATCGCTGTGGGCTGTAATGGTGTTCTGGTCTTAAAGGGCCTGGGACGTGCTTATCCTTCACAAACAAAAAGTAAAAAAAAAAACATTTATATTTAAGATAATTAGCATAATACTCATAATTATACCCATTTTGTCTCATAACTGGCATATTTTCTCTTGAATTTGGCTCAGCAGTGAAACAGGAAGTGACATCAAAGGGGAACTCTTTAAGAAAATAAACTCTCTGGTCTTTGTTTATTGAAACAATCTTATTTACCGTATTTTTCGGACTATAAGTCGCAAATTTTTTCCTGAACTTTGAACCATGCGGCTTATAGTCCGGTGCGGCTTATATGTGGATTTTTTTCTTCAGCCACCAGGGGGCTCTTGAGCCGGGTTGCCGTGAATAAATGGAAGAAGAAGAAGCACCATTTTGTTTTAGCAGAAGAAGCACCATTTTGTTTTAGCTAGTAGCAGACACGACACAATGGATTAATCTTCGACAGACACGACAAAATATTTCTCATCAAATTCAAACGTTCTCATCATGGAAAAGAGTAGAAGATCTTCCTATGATGCCACTTTTAAGTTGAAGGCTATCGAAATTGCGCAACAGGAGGGAAATAGAGCCACTGCACGGAAGCTCGGCCCGGGTTCCTAAAGGCTGGACTGCTACGTGAAGAGGGTACTACAGCTCCAGAGCCAGCATCACCCCGTGATGAAAGCTACACAGAAAGCAACACTGAACAGATACCGCTGTGTGACGAAGCTTTTCTGAGCTTGTTCAACTCCGACACTGAAGAAGAGGACTTTGATGGTTTCATTGCGCCGGAGGAAGATGAATGAGACGTTTCTTTGTTTTGTTGGATCAGAAACTGTTAAAGAAAACTACCAAAATAACGTCAGTTAAATGAACCGTATTCCTCCGAACTTTAATTCCTGAAGGTTTGCTTTTTATGTTTTGATGTTGAATTCACTTTTTTGACGACAGTTTTGGGTGTACTGTTTTTTTTTATGTTGGGGGTGCGGCTTATAGTCCGGTGCGGCTTATACATTAATGTTTGCGAGGTTTCTTTTAAAAAAATGGCGGGTGCGGCTTATAAAAWGAAAAATACAGTAAACTCTTCTTCAACTCTGATAGTGACTCAAAATAATCTTAAAAAAAACATCGGATTCTTCTCTAATTATTGTAGCATCGCTCTGTTTACATGCAGACATTCCCCTTTGACATCACTTCCTGTTTCTTCACGTGCAAATATCTCAACAACTGTTCATCTCAACGGTGTGAAGTTTGTTTTGCAGTATGCTATCAGTGTTCTCTTTCCATAGACACATTCACATTTACTACAAAAATTTGACGTCACATGAACTTTAAAGAAAAATGACTTTTCTGGCAGATGAAACAAGATCTCTGGCAGCAAAAATAAGAAATAAGTATTTTTCAGAATGTTAATTAAAAAATATAAATTATTGTTACACTGACACAAACTAAAGTGGTTTCACTTGAACGACAACAATATGGTCTCATTAGTGGTTCTTTGCATTCGCTGCTAAAAGCCTCGTGCTGCAGCCTGGCACGGCTCCGGCGCGAACCTGGAACCTTCCATCAGTCTCCACAGATCGCAGACAACCTGCAGCTTCAAGCCCGGCGGGAGATCAGATCAGTGGGCGTCTGAGACTGAGATGAACTGAAGGGCTTCGTTGTTTCGCGGAGATGACGAAGGGAGGGAATCTTGAGGAGACAGAAACTCAAGGTCTCCTATTAGGAGGTGACATCAGGGCCAGTTGTTGGAGTTTTGGTTCAATCCACGGCTTCTCGTCGCATCTTGCCTTCGTTTTAATATTGTATGAAGAAAAACAGAAACAATGTGAAGTTTGGTGATCATAGTGAAAAAGTGTTGTTTTTAAGGCCTCTGCTGTCCTCTCTCCTCAGCCCTACCACTATAGCTGGCATTGCCTCTTCCATTCTGCTGTTTGTGGCCATCATTGCAACCATGGTTTGTTGCTTCATGTGTTCCTGCTGTTACCTCTACCAGAGAAGGCAGCAGAGGGGCAGGACACCTTATGATGGTAAAATGATTCATCTATATGCCCAGGCTTGTAAAATTAAACCCTAACTTGTAGTTTCCTATACAGTACATATGTGTAAATATATATATATTTTGCTCACAGCCCAGCAGATTCCCATGGTCAGCTACCCAGTGGAGCCCATGTATGATGCTTATGGAAAGCCTCTCGGACCCGCTGGTTATCCTTTGGCTCCCCAGTACCCTGGCATGCCCGCACAGTACCCCATGATGCAGCCAGGACCTTACCCGCACCACATGGAGCCTGCGTACAGCCAGGGTAAGAGCAGCAGAGTGGAACGATGAGCCAACAGTGTGGATCTAATAATAGTGTCTGAACGTTTAGGTTTCCTGGCCGCGATACGGCAGGACGTGTAATTTGTCCGCGGTTCCGTTCAGGTCGTTCAGACGTCGGCCACTTATCGTGTTTTATTGAAAAGCGACGCAAAGAGCTACGCCTGATATGTGCCATTTAAATGAGACTCGGCAGATTAAAAACGACAAAGCGATTCAGAGTCATTGTTTCCTCTCACAACACACCACGTCAATGTAACTATTTGTGTTAGCATGCCAAACAAGTGGTGTTTGTGTAAAACATGACAGCGGCGAGACAGAAGCAGCTGAAAACAGCGACCTTAAGCTTATGGAGCAGTCAGCTCAAATTTAAGAGTTTAATTGTACTACAAAGAGAGTAGTTGTTATCAGCTGGAAAACATGAGGTTTTACTTTGTCAGGGGAGAAGTCGAGGCATCGTAAAGTTCCAGTTTTCACAAAGCTCCACATTATTCAGCCTTATAAATCAGATGGAACAGAAGCTTCTGCTGAGCTTAAATGTTTTTAAACTTGAATTTGTTTTAATGGATTCGTACTTTTGAAATTCGTTTTTAAGGTTTTTAAAAAAGGTGGTTAAAATGCATCTTCAGGCTTTTTCAGTTCAGCAAAAATCTCAGAGGCAAAGACAAAAAGATGTTTGCTTTGAGGACAAAATACTGTGTTTTTCAATACCGTGTACCACAAACAAATGTTCTAACAGCAGAACACTCCGTTCCAGTTATATAACATTTATAACTGACCCATGATCCTTTCTTTAGCACCAACAGCAGACCCAAATGTTCACTTGTATTCAAGAAGTATCAGGAAGAAATTGGCGGCTCACCATGTTCTCCAGCATGCGAATGCTCCGTTTTATTCCCGTTAGGTTTTTCTTTACACTCATCTTCTGGACAAATATAACACTTTTAACAGCTCAGCTTGACTCACTTTAAATTTGGACAAGAAGTCTGGTATTATTTTGCACTTTTTAGACTTATTGAATTCAAAATTGAATCAACAGCATCAGTTTTCTTTGTACAGTCACACATTTTTTGCAGGCTTTTAGGTATTTTCATATATTTCCTGGCTTTAACCTCACTGAAAATGTCAATGTGTTGGTTTATTCATCATTGCATTTATTTCTAATCTCAATATTTTAGTTAACGCTAAGTTCTCTGAATCTTCAAGTGTTTCTTCAGTTTCAGTAAAAAACAGTTAAAAAAAAGAAATCAAGTGTTTTGGCCAGAAAATTGGAACTTGTCGTTGTTTTTTGACACAGTTAAGTTATACTGATTTAATTGTATGCTTTTCTTGTTTTTCAGCCCCACCACCTTACTCTCCACCTCAGTATCCTGGTCAGTGATGCGTTCGTCTCAACACAAACCGTGAGCGAAAAGACTGATTCAAAAGAAAGTGGCAGCAAACCTCTCTCTCTCACACACACACACACACACACACACACACAGTCTAACACACACACCATTTAAATAAAACTACAGCTCAAGTTGGATTGGTTTTCCTGTGAAGGAGAACAGGAAGCACTTTAACTTCTTTTTTTTTCTCTCCTTGCTGTTGTTTTTTTGTAGCATTGTCCTACTTTTCCTCAGTAATGTAAGTCAAACTCTGACTCCTGACGTTTGATTGCTCCGTGCTGCTTTCACAGCGGGCGTCATCCTTTTAAGTGAGCAGGTATCTGTGTCTAGACGCTTCCACTTTTCCTCTGACTCACTCGTTTCAATGACAGACTGTCACAGAAGACACCTCTCATCAGCATACAAAGAAAATATTGAGGATGTACAAAAAAAAAACTCGATGCACTCCTGTTTTTTGTCGAAGGGACTAATGCTTTTCTTCCTAATGTTTAAGTTAAAAGAAACTGATAACTGCCTCTTACTACATTCATAGTATTTCCCTCAGTGGTCCAAACCCTGAAGTTTTGCTAACTTGGTCTTCATGTACTTGATGTTTGTTTTGCTTTCCCCCCCGAGGTTCAGTTGCATGTTTTGATAAAAATATTGACGTGTTTGGATCAAAACCAGATGATGCCAATTATCTGGATTTCTAAGTTCTGTGTGAAAAACTTTTTGTCACCCGTTAGTTAGAACCACATTTTTAGTTGCGCCCTTCTCATAAACCACCTGTGTCCTGCTCGCTTTTATCAGCCTCTTCAGCTGTTTTTTTATTTTATTGTATTTTATTTTTATTTTTCTGGAAGTGAACTAAAACCTAAACACTATTCTTAATGCACACTGTCAGGTTGGATGACCAGAAATGTCAAGTTTTATTTTTTTGGTAGATTTAGTAAATCCATATCCCACCTTACAAAAAAAATAAGAGATTATCTATTTAAATACACGTGCTGCAAATCTGGTTCTCAGTTTAATATGAATTAATGTTGTAACAAATTGTTTTATTGCAGTGTGTTGTTATTGTAACATGGAATCAGATTTGTTTACTTTGTCTCATTCCTTATTTATAATTACGGTGGTCATGTCTTACTGTGAATGGTATCTTACCGACTGGACTAATATGACCACCGTTTTAATTTTTTTTTTTTTTTTTTTTTTTTTTTTTTTTTTTTTTTTTTTTTTTTTTTTTTTTTTTTTTTTTTTTTTTTTTTTTTTTTTTGGAATTCTATTTACTTGTCTACTTATTTGCTTAAAACATATATCTTCTTTTTAATTAAGATGCTGAAAACTTTTTCTAAAGAATAAAGTGAGAAGTAGTAGACGCAAATGATGATGAAGTTGCAGTGGCTCTAAAATGCTAAGTTTAAAATAGCCAGAAAACAGTAAAGGAGGAAAATTTTACTTTGGACTGAGAGATCCACTGATCTCTTGGCCATCTGGTCACCTTTTTCTAGCCAAGCTCATCAGGAGAGAAAAAAAGGGGCAGAAATAAGACAAACCACATAGACGCAGAGACTTCTAAATAAAGGTTGAAGTCTCGCTGAAACTGACGCACAGAACAGATTATTTGTAAATTGAAGCAATAGCAGCATCAACTTTAAAAAAATAGAACAAGTAATATAAAAGACAAAGAAACATAACTGTGGTGCCTTTAGTAAACAGCATTTCCCATGTGCAGAAAGAGGTAGAGGAATAGTTGTCTCTTAACTTTTTTAACCTTTTATTATGAAAGCTACTTTTTTTTTTTTTTATGATTTTTTGTGAACTTTGTTTCCTTCAGACATCGATCCTGTTTTCAGTATCTGAACTAAGCTCATTAGTGTTATTTTCTGGAGCAGGTAACGTTTGTTTCCTCAGTGGACGGAGGTCAGTCTGCTCTGATGGCACCTGCTTCAACCTAAACCAGATCCTTTATTGACCCTGTTGTCTGATATTAAGTGGACAGTGTAGTCTTCTCATATAGCTGAAGTTTTGTCAACAAAAAAGCAAGCGTGTGGATTTCCCCAAGTGTGAATCTGTTTTTTAGGTTCTTTGCAGATTTTATCTATTTGAAGGCTGACAGGAATTTTGCACTGAGCTGTTTCTAATGTCACAGGTTATCCACCGTACATTCTTTACCTTCTATCATGTGGATTCAACAATTGCTACATGGCGTTTATTTAAAAAAACTGCTCAGTATGTTCTAACATTAAACCTCCCAATGACTCAAACAAGCTATTAATACTCTTTACAATGTAAATGATTTACTCCCATGTCCACTTGGACAGATTTGTTGAGAGTTTGTAAAGCAGAACGCCGGTACGACACTTCCATGTGTAATTTATTATGATGTTTTCTCAACAACGTTCCTGTTTTTCCTGCTTCTAAACCAATTCCATTGTGTTTTATTGAAACTGACAGTTGGTGCAAATGTAACATGTGACATGTGTCTGTTGTCATATGGATGGCATGACATTGTAATTATAAAGTGTGGGGACCAGAAATGATTTCTAATAACATAAAATTTACCTTTGGAATGTAAATTTGTTTTGCCTCCTGTCTTTTTATTTATTATTTAATTTTGCTGTTCTAAAGTTCTGTTTTTTGGGGATTTTTATACATTATGTGAAAACAAAATCAGTACATGGTTTTGTCCACTAGATGACCAGATTACATCAAACACATTTAGAAGAAACTTAAATAAACAGCCACTTTTAAATATTACTATTTTCAATTTTATTAATTTTAAATGTATTTGTATTAACAAATTATATAATCTAGTAATGAATTCCACCCATCCAATCATTTAGAAATTAATTTGATTATTTACCGTTATTGGCAAATCCCATTGAGATCGCAGGTATCTTTTTCAAGGGCGGCCTTGGGCCTGAAGGCAACTTATTGTACATGTTTCTGTGTTGAGGGGGAAACTACCTGGAGAAAACTCACGCAAGCACAAGGAAAACATGCAAACTCCACACAGAAAGACCCCAGGTCCAAACCGGGAATAGAACCCAGGACCTTCTTGCTGTGAGGTGTCGGTGCTAACCACTGAGCCATCGTGCTGCCATAAATTGTAACAAATTATCAAATTGCTGCATACCATTGTTTCCATTATTACATTTTGACATTTTTCAAAGTAATTGCACACCTGTCATTTAGCCATAAAAACACTGAACTTACCTCTTATTACCAGGGCATAAGTAACTAATTTTCTCCTAAATCATCATCCCAATTAGTTCTAAAAGTGCTCTTTTGCCAGCTAAAACGTTAGTTTTAATGTCCTGATGCATCTCAGTAATCCAGGTAGAAAAAATCAAAAAGAAAAAAATAAGTAGGTCCTCTGGATGGGTTCTTCAAAGATCCAGTTCCCCGGCAAAAACAGAATAATATAGTATATGCTGTTAAGTGTCAGGAGGACTGTGATCAGTCATACATTGGGGAAACAAAACAGCCACTGTTCAAAAGAATGAGCCAGCACAGACGAGCTACATCGTCGGGTCAGGACTCTGCAGTTTACACTCATCTACAGGCCAGCGGTCACTCTTTCAGGGATGAAGATGTTCTCATCCTTGATAGAGAGGAACGTTGGTTTGAGAGAGGAGTAAAGGAAGCCATCTTTGTGAAGAAAAACCATCCACCATTAAACAGAGGTGGAGGCCTTCGTGTCCAGTTGTCCTCCTCCTACAACGCTGTTATTGCAAGAATGACTCAGCCTCCTGTGAGCAAAAGGTGTGAATCAGGGCCCCAATGATACCCAACACAAAGAGGGAAAGAGAGACAAAAACAAGGGGACTTTGAACCCCGCCTGTATTCACTACATACACATAACATGACACCAAACAACCACAGCTGAAGCATCCAAAGCAATAAGTCAGGTGATGGGGCACATGACCCTCTAGAGCTAATCAAGCCTATTGTTAAGCGATGGCCCTCTTTTGCATGTGACTAACCTGTTTGTCCACCATGTGGAGGCAGTGCTTATAAGGCTGAGTTGACCTGAAACTCATCAGACTGAAGAAGCCTCTTGGATGAGAGATGAAATGTTCCACTAAAGAAGAACCATCCAGAGGACCTACTTATTTTTTTCTTTTTGATTAGCTTTTAATATAAAACTATTGTAATTTTTTTATATGAAGTCTTATAATAGTATTGATTTTATTTTTAACTCAATCTGGATCTTGTCTCCTCCGTTTAAACACACATTGTGTCATAGGAAGTTTGACAGAGTCTGCTCTGTAAATTTTCAGCCCTTCCCATTACCTTTAAAGGAGCGTGTACCCTGAACTAAATATGGGCATGCACTTTAACAGGATTTCAAAGAATGTCCCAGCCTCACGCTGCTCTTTGATGATGGGAGCATTTTGCAGTTCATCACTGGGGCTCCTCGCTGCAAGACCGTGAGCGCAGCCTCTTCACGCCGGGATTGATGCCTCTGGTGGCTTTTCGGTGAGGAGACGCGAGAAGACAGCAGGCCTTCAGCTCACAGGACTACCCAGCCTCTCCCTGGCTCCTTAGGAGAGAATCCTTTTGGGTCAAAATACATGAATATACCACCTACTGCCAATTCATCTTCTGAAAAAAACAGCCCAAGAATGTCCAGGCGAAAGGTGAGGGGCCTGACCCGTACGGGTCGACAGGTCAGCGAAGACCCAGACCTGGAAAACCTGCTGTCAACCCTCTCTCCTGAGGAGGTGGAAGAGCTGGATAAAGACCTGAGGAACGTTCCAGACATCAGCCCAGAGGATGGGAAGATCATCGTCCAAGGGGAGAGCCATCCTCCGCAGCCACCTCTGAGCAACAACGTCTGGGACACAGAGAGGAGAAGTGACACCAGAGGGAGGCTCAGTCAGCGGGAGCCATCAGCTGAGGTTAGTGATTAGAGTGTTTTACTGAGGTTGAACTGAGGCTTTTGTGTTTCAGGGACAAGTCACACACTTTAAATGTTTGATTTGAACTCATCAGTTTTTAACGAGTGTATGACTGATAGTTTACAGCCGCACTTGCATGTCCGTTGTCACAGGGCATTCTATTGAGAGCTGTTTTTCATTTAACTCAAAGCAGCTGATGCTCGCACACCCTGAGTCCATCAGTTCAAAAATAGTGATCTCCCAAAGGTGACTTCAGTTGCCAGGATAAACATGATTCCCCCTCTGAGGTTTGCAGACACCATACTCATTCATCATAAGCAGAAAAACAGTCCCTAAGAGTCACTGAGGCGTTTCGATTATTCTGTTGATCATTTTGAAAAAGTTTTCGACAACTGAAACCAAAAAGCTCTCCCCCAGGGTTGGAGTTATGGAGCAAGATTTGTGTCAGTTTGTGTGCTGAAAAGAAGAGCACCCCAGTGGATTGCGGAGCTCCTTAATCCCAGCCTGATGGAATTCCTTGGTTGATTGCTCCTTTGCTCGCTGCCTTTTAAGGACACATCTGCCAGAGCCATGGCCTCATGCTGCACAGCAGTCGAAGGCTCACAAATCAAACACTTAGCAAGCGACTCGCTTCAAACGTGTTCCTACGCTGTAAAAATAAGGTTCCTTGTCCTTCTGCTGAGTGTAAACACACATGCCATATTGTGTATAAGAGGGTGTTTACAATGAGGAGATGGATGAGGGCTGTTTTGTAATGAAGAAATACATGATTTACACAAGTATAGCACATCAAGTGGTTTAAGTGCAAATGCAAAACCCAAGAAATCCTTTGAGTAACGAGCTGCAAAATGATGGTTCTACTTTTCTAATTTGCTATGGGTTTTTTTTACCCATAATTTTGCTTCAGCCGAGGGCTTTGCCTTCTGTGAAAATTACATAATACATTATTTATGTGTCTCCTTCTGCAGGGGGAACCAAAGAAGGAGAGCCGGAAGCAGGAATACCTGAGGAAGATGGGCCTCAGCCAGGAGGGGAGCGATAACATGAAAGCAGCGGTGCGACGACAGCCGAGTCTCACAAGTGACAAAGATGTCAAGGTGAAGGATAGGAACAGCAGAGGTTCTGACAACATGAAAGAAGAGAAAAGTTGGCGTTCAAGTAGATACAGGGAGCAAGACGACAAAGAGAGCGACACCAAGGAGGAGGTCAGTCAGAAAGAAAGCTCTGAAAACTACAGGATAAGAGACAGAAGAGAAAACAGAGAGAGCACAGGTAGCAAAACAAAAGACATGATCTCCAAGTTACAGGAAAAAAAAGACGAGGGCAAGGACAAGGACAGGAAAGAGGACTGCAGGAAAAGAGATGAGAGCAAAACCAAAGACATTATCTCCAAGTTTCGTGAAAAAGGCGAGAAGGATGTCGGGAGAGAAAGGGAAAGGAAAACGGAGACCATCAGGACGCAGGGGCTCGTCTCCAAAATGGTTGAGAAGCAGAGCCAAGGCCAGGAGAGTAAAAAAGATGAAAACAAGCTGAGGGCGGAGGAGAAAACCAAGCCTGATGTTAAATTCCAGAGGCAGCTGTCTGAGAAGGACGAAGTACAGGCGAAACGGGACAGGCCAGAAAACAGAAGTGATAGGGAGGAGATGGTCAACCACAGTGACCACGTGAAAGAGAAATATTCAAAGATTAGTAAAGACTTGACGACTGAGGAGAAAAGGGAAAACAATGACGTTAAAAGAAAACCTACAAACACTGAAGAAAGAGAAAAACTCGGTAACTGCGTGGCCAAAAACGGCTCAAACAGCAAGACGAAAAAGGAAGAGGAAGAGGACGAAGACTCGAGCATGTTCGATGAGTTGATGCAGCAGGTTGAAAGCGACGACCCCTCCCTCCCTGAACTCAATGTCAACAACTCTGAGGTCATCAAGACTAAAACGCTCATCGAGTTCGCCGAAGCTTTGCACAGCAACACTCACGTTAAGACATTCGCTTTGGCTAACTGCCGCGCAGACGACCACGTGGCTTACGCCATCGCCGGTATGTTGCGCAACAACAAGACCATCACCAGCATCAACCTCGACTCCAACCATCTCACCGGCAAGGGCATCCTGTCCCTCATCCAGTCGCTGCAGTACAACTCCACGCTGACCGAGCTCCGCTTCCAAAACCAGCGTCACATCTGTGGAGGCAAGACGGAGATGGAGATGGTAAAGATCCTGAAAGAAAACACCACCCTGCTCAAACTGGGCTACCACTTTGAGCTAGCAGGGCCCAGGATGACCACGACAAACATACTGAGTCGCAACATGGACAGGCAGAGGCAGAGGCGCCTGCAGGAGCAGAAGATGGCCCAGGCCAACGGGGAGAAGAAGGGAACACTGGAGGTGCCCAAAACTGGAGGTGGAGGATCTCTGAGGTGCACGCCAAAATCCTCCCCCAAACCGTCCCCCATTCCCTCGCCCATGCCTTCCCCCAAGCTGATGCCCAGAAGAGGAGCTGGGGGTCCAGCTCCGCCTCCGCCTCCACCACCTCCTGGGGGTGGACCCCCACCTCCTCCACCTCCGATGCCGGATGGCGACCGCCCAGGTGGTAGCAAGAACTCAAGGGACCAACTGCTAGCCTCCATCAGAGGAAGCAACATCAAACAGCTGAAGAAGGTAGGAACAGTAAAACAGGTTCAAGACATTCACTTGTTCAAACAGACTCATCTTTTTGTCTTCCTTTTTTCATTACAGGTACCGGTGCCAAAGTGGCTGCAGTAAGACCATATGATGGAAAAGAAGAGAACATACATCTCACTGCAGGTTTTCTTGGAGATAAACTCTATGTTCCTGCGGCTGGTTGAGGAGCTGCACGGTGGGACGGATGGAAAATCGTAAAATCATTGCCCTTACTATGAGTTCTCCTCTCAAACACTGGACCAAAGGGACTCTAGGGAGAATGAGTGTCACAGGGTTTTTCATAAGTTGACTGCGGATAGCGCCACGAGTTTGTGGCCCTCCTTCTTCAGTTCATATTGATGCTTTTTTTTGCACTAGTTTATATAAAGCCGAACATATTGGCTTGTATATGCCTCTGAATGTGAGTGTGTCGGGAGCATGTGATTAAAGTTGAGTTCAGACAATATATGCAATTAAAATTCTATATAACTGTAAACATTAGTTTGACCATTTATTTATTACTGGAGGATCCACCTTAAACTGGTCAACTGTAAATCTGGAAATATCAGGGAAATAACAAACACAAAACCAGACTTCAACAAATCTGCACACAGAAAACTGTTTTTTTTTAAAAGAAGCTTTAATTAATGGAGTAAGAAATCTCAAACTGATAACCTTACATGGCTGAGTTAAAACGTCTCAGCGTTGACTTGGCTCAGTCCATATTTGACTTTGTGCTGAGATACAAATTTGGTTGTTTTTAACCCAGCAGTTTTTAGTGTGTGGGTACTAACAAAAGCTCAACGTTTGATTGCGTGTCACGTTTTCAAATCTCCAGACATCTCGCACAGCTTTGGAAAACAGCCCAATAAAATCCTGCAGCACCATGACCGAGTTTTAAATGGAAGTACTGTATAATTACATCACGCAGTTTACCAGGATCAAATGGGTGTCCTTCACTGTCTGATGTATTTTGTACAGAATCATTCTGACCTGTGGTGTTTTATTATCTCTCAGCCATTTTTTCCTGTAATGCAGCTTTGTGTCTCAGCCTTACTGGTGATCTGGAAAACCATTTCTAGATTAATTCAGCCTTTTCTGTATATCTCCTGTGTAATAAACATGTATTTTTAAGTAACCAACCTTTCAAAAAAGTACTTCAGCATGAAGAAAAGTCTCTAGTTTTTTTTTCTACGAGTCACTTCCTGATGGAGCCTGTGTGTCTTTAATAAAAGATTCTGGTATGTTTGTGAGTGTCTGCGGCACGAGGGAGAATGTGTAAAAATTAACTTTGTATTAATCTTATAAAGCAGCTTCAGTACCTGTTGAGCTGCTTTATCAGATTAATACAAAGTTAATTTTGTATAAATCTGATAAAGCAGCTTCAGTACCTGTTGAGCTGTTTTATGTCCTACGTTAAGTCATCGCTGTGTACATTCCATCTGCTGTAGTTGTTGCTAAATCATAATAGTTACAGAGCCAAATATAGTCATGCATCCAGTCCAAAAAGGTTTGCTGCATAGATAATATTTTGCGTACTGTGTAAATCACAAAGTACTTAAAACCCTTTTTTTAGCAATCCATTTATGTAAAATAATGTACTGCATATTTAAACTTAATAGAAGCTATAATAACGTTAGTCTCCTGCAGGAAAACATTACAACTGAACTAACAGTTTCACACAGGTATGTAAAACATGGTTAAAAATAACTTTCCAGTGATCAGAAATGAACAATATTTGGATAAATCTTGACTACGGGTTTTATCTGATGTCAATGAACTCTGAAAAAAAAAAAAACATTAGATACAGATAATACCCAGCACAGCTGATGTCTTTCATGTGCCTGGCCAGTACCTAATCTGTGAATCACCACAGAGGCGGAGACAACCCAAAATTTTTGTTGCCTTTCACACATATTAAGCTGCAACTGTTTTATGTCTGAACTGGCTGAAAAGGTGCAGCCATCATCTCAGTTACTTGGAGGGGAAAGAGGGAGTCAGCGCCAGCAACAGGTCGGTTTATCTCTCAGAACTCTGCCTCAGTCTTTGCTTATATAAATGGACCTTATTTGGTCATTTCTCAGTGAGGGGTTTACACTGGGAGTCATTCCTTTCCCCCTTTCTAATATTGGGCTGTAGGCCAGGGGTCTGTCTCTGGGCTGGAGCGGTTCCTTGGAGCAGCAGGGCTGGTCTCTGATGGAGGACAAGAGGAGAAAGGAATGAAGATGTTGAGATTACTGGTTCAGGGCCAACACGGAAGGCTTCCCGAGGGAAATATTCATCATTTAAATGTTAAAAATAAATAAATGTATATTTAAAACTATATTTATGCACATTTTTATGGTTTATTTTTGTCATCATTCTTTTTGTGCTTTATAAATCACTTGCTGAATGAGTTCATATTTTATTTGGTGTAAAACATGCCTCTTCTTCAAACAAAACTTTTTCTGGCTCAAATGTGTTTTGATAGACTTGATAGGTCTTTGTTGTAGCTTATTTAGTCAATTAATAATTTGTTTATTGCTATATATAATAGGTCATTGACTGAATGATAAGTGGTGTGTTTTAGAAAATATGTTACAATATGTTTTAACCATAGTGGTTTTAACTCAAAAAATAATCAGGTTGCAGTTACACACAGAGGGCGCTGCATCCCATTTTAAACTTGATTCAAACACCAGAATTAAGAGAAGAAGAAGAAACGTTACATCAGGGGAACAGTTAAAGAACAAAATGGAGGATTTCAGAGAGCCATGGTGAGTTTTTAAATATAAAAAAATTGCTTGTAAACGAGGTGTTAATGCTTGTATTCGCATTGAACTCGATTTAAATAACCACTGCATTCAGTGTTTATCGTTATTTTATTTCGTCACAGCTATGTTTTTAAAGGCACATCCTGACACGCACGAAATAACGCCGGCTAGCTAGCTAAGATAGCTACAATGCTACATTTTAATGGAACTCCAATAGGCTGCGTGAGCTAACATCAGACCGTGGCTAAACCACGTTGCTGGTGACCTTGTCGGCTTTTTATTTTTTATTTTTTTGCCAACATGTGTTTGCAGTAACTTTTATGGACCAAAGGATTACTCTGTTAATCACAAACGATTTACATGTTACTCGTTTATATAACAATTATTAATTTCAAAGAAAGTTGAATCGATGGAATGATGTTGATTTAGCTTTGCTATCTGTGTGCTAACCCGAGACATTACGACTTGTGTTTAAAAACAAATTCAGACTAATGAAGCAAACTGCGCTAATATTTTTTTTTGGTTAGTTGCCATACATATCGTGTTTTAGCCTAAAGGTAATGCTGTTTTTGATCCAGTGATAAAATAAACTTAATTTATTTTCAAATTGAATTTAATAGTAATAATAATAATAATAATAATAATAATAATAATAATAATAATAATAATAATGCATTAGTCTTATATAGCGCTTTGAGGTAAAAAGTATGTGCTAAATATCGACATGTCTTTCAGGAGATATGCTACAATAAAGCTTTAATAACAAGATGTTATTGTTAAAATGGATAACTATAGTATGCCAGAGAGACAATAAATTCTATTCTATTCTATTCTATTCTATTCTATTCTATTCTATTCTATTCTATACACTGACCTAGACACGTAATTTGACCATTTTCTCTTTGTTCACTTGTCAAAATATGAAGAACAAAACAGTTCAATGGGCATAACATAGCATACACCGAGCATAGTGATTTCCTTTTATAAATTATGTTTATGTGAGGATGGTGTGCAGTGCCTTTTAAAACGTAGTGAGAATCAATTTGTGTTATTAGACGTGCCAGGAAAACCTTCAACTGTACAAGTTCGGGTACAAGGTCTTGACTAAAAAAAGCACTGAAAACCTTCAGAAATGTGGAGAACTTTTGCTGAAGATACTTTCCTTTAATTTAGTTTTGATTGCAGCCCTGTAAACTGTCACAGAGCCAACACCAGATATCACTTATCTTAGTGATCCAAACCTTCATTTAACACACATCAAAATCTGTCCAGTGTACAAAGCATTTGTGTAAATGATTAGTTAAGTATTGTTTGTCGGAGAAGTGACTCTTTGCTTTTCCAGTAATCTGTACCAGGATTTCTGTTCTGTGTATATTTTACTAAATGTTTTTAATCCTTAATTTTTGCCATTTAACTGTCATATATTATCAATAAAATGGGGTTGATTCATTTAACATCATGGAGATCACATAAACATAGACTTTAACTTACTATCAAAATCTAATATATATATTACGTTTGATAAACGGGGGTTGGGATGAGGATTTATGTCTGGTAAAGTCTTAATATCTATATATTTTTTTACTTCTAGCCCCTGGAGGATTTTTGAGGACTGTGGTGGAGCTTTCACCTTGGGAGCTATTGGTGGAGGAATTTTTCAGGCAGTAAAGGGCTTCAGAAATGCTCCTTCGGTAAGTTAACAGCCACAAGGTTTGAGGGTGTCCTCTTCTTCACTCACACATAGAAACACTGGCCTTGTGGGTCTGCATCTGGCTCAGTGACATTGCATTATGTGTGCGGGGTTGTTGTTTACCTGACAAACAAACCATGAAGTTTTATTTATTTTTTAAACTGAACTAGTAAAAAAATAGTAATAAACCTTGAACTGAGAAATTGAGAACAAATTTACACTGATCTGTTTTTGGTGTATTTTGCAGGGGATGAGCCACAGAATGAGAGGTAGTATGACTGCCATTAAGACCAGAGCTCCACAAATAGGAGGTAAGAACAAATACAAAATAAATCCTAACAGATCATGGTTTTCTTCTTTTGCAGAAACACTGATAGTAACCCTGTTAGTATCCTGCTGTTGACATAAAAATAGCGGAAACTTCTTTCACTTTTGGAGCAGTTTAATTAATTTTTCTTCTGTCTTTTCTGTTTCTTGTCAGTTATGGTGAAATATACTAAAGAAAGTATTTCTATGCTTTAAGGCTTTCTTTCAGTTATTCACATTTGAGGGAATAATCAGAAAACCCTTCATATTGTTGGGTGTTTTGCGGGGAAAATATATTTTCACAATAGTGAAACTTTGGATTGCTTTTGCTACAACCTATAATTTTTTTTTTTTTTTGCGTGTGTTGCAGGTGGTTTTGCGGCGTGGGGAGGTGTTTTTGCCATGGTTGACTGTGGTTTAATAAGAGTACGAGGGAAAGAAGATCCCTGGAATTCAATAACGAGTGGGGCCCTGACCGGAGCTATTCTTTCTTCAAGAAGTGAGTTTGCTAAATAGAGGCTGATGGACATACTGTGCATAAAAATGGCTCATTTTAACATAATTAGTTTGCACTTAATTAGAATTTCTGTGTATACATATTGCTCTAATATGTTATTTTAGAAAACCACAAGTTTTGTGTAGGAATGTTTTGATTTTGATTTGATTTGATTTATTCACTTCATTTAAAACAAAAAAGTTTACATTACAAAAAATACAAAACTTATATCACAAACTAAAATGAAAGGCAGCAGAAGGAAGAAAAAAATCTTATAATATCTGCCCCTTTTTACAAGGGAAAATGTGGAATGTGCTAAATTTATGTGTATGTTATGTAGGAGGACCAGTTACTATGATTGGCTCTGGAATTATGGGAGGTATTCTGCTGGCATTGATGGAGGGTTTTGGAATCATGCTGACAAGATTTACCTCTCCATCGTTCCCAACTGGTGAGTTATTCCTTTAAGACGAGCCCTGTGTGTCCCATAAAATGACTTGGAAGTTGTAGAATATTGTGTAGAATAGAATAGAATAGAATAGAATAGAATAGAATAGAATAGAATAGAATAGAATAGAAAAGAAAAGAAAAGAAACAACCTTTATTGTTCCACGCAGGGAAAGGTGTAATAGCAGCAGCATAGACATACATCAGTCCAATAATAAAGATAGTAATAAACATAGATCAAAATAAAAATAAGAATAATAATTACTCTACCGAACTATCAGGATAAAATTAGATAAAAATGAAAACAAAAACAAGATACTGTGCAGAAAAATACGAAATTACAGGAAAAAACTGTCATGACGGACTCATGATCCGAGGGGGTGTACAAACTGAGTCGAACTCAGGGGTGTGCAAATTGATTCAAATGCACTCATTAAGTCAGTGTTCCAGTACAGGAAAAACGATGTACAATTGCCACAGGTTATTATTTATGTAATGATTGAGAAGTAGAGTTGTTTGGCGTGCAGACACAAACATAGATGCTCATCAAGATTGTTGGGAGCAGTGATGGTTATAGAGTCTAACAGCTGATGGGAGGTTCTTTTAAAATGCGCTGTTTATTTGTAACATCACTCGTGTTTCAGTATTCACAACGAACGTCTGAGTAGGTCTGAGCATAAGGTAGTAGTGGTTAGTAGGTTATCTATATTTAAAAGTCTCTAGGAAAAGGATGACGTCTGCTTTGGCACCAACTGTACACCAGCTTCACATCTTGTTACTCAACACCCTGACATAGATGTTTACTTAGAGTGAGTCACCTCCGTACATGCTAATGTTGTTTGTACAAAACAAACTCTTGTCTCCAGGCAAAAATGTTTATTATATTTTGTAGATTTTAAAAATAGATGTGTGTCAAATATTCCTCTACAACCTGTGAAAAATATGTTGACTATCTTACTTTTTAGTTTATTTTTGTTTTCAGTTACAGGCTTTTTTATTTCTATTAAAATCTAAAATGACAATAGACTTTGTAGACAACCCTTTTTGTGTGTTAAAAAATTGCAAAACCATAATTAATGGAGCATTCATAAGAAAAATTTAATATTGAGTTGCATCAACTTTACTATTTATTGCTTAGATTTAAAAAAATAAAAAGTATGAAACAGAAACAAAAGTCTGTGATAATGTTTGAACATGTCTACCAAAACCTGTATTACTCAGCCTCTGTTAAAACCATTAAGATGACACATTTTTAATGAAAATTTGCTCTGATATTGACTTTATTTTTTTCTCTCTAGGGCCACAATTCGCAGAAGAACCTGCCCCCGGACCCGCTCCCATTCCCACTTCCCCTTTTGGACAATATCAGTGAGAGAATCACCTCACTCCTTTATTCTCTAGACCCTTTTTTAAATTCCTTGCTGAAGTTACAAAGAAGAAATGGATGTGCAGATTACCACCACATCACACAGTAGAATCTGTGCTCACCATCATAAACTGCCTGAGAAGTGAAGAACAGACGAGAAGCAGGTCATTTTTCACGAGCCATCTACAGATCTGCCTCTCGCCATCCTCTGCCCTGTCACGTGCGTCAGTGTCTCTGAGTTACAAACATGTTGAAAGTTATTCGATATTTGTGAGCTTGTGGGGACGGGGTGTGCGTCCTGTTTTGTTCACTTACAGTTCATACCCCATGTAGTGCTGAATCTCCAAAACAAAGATGTTGCACATGAAAAGCGTAATAAATTATGTATATATGCATTAAGGCTTTCTGCTTGTGTTCATGTATGTCAATCTTTATTTACCTTTAATACGTCACATGCTTGGGTTGGTCAAAAACTCCTCTGCCTTTTTACGTTTTACTCAGAGCTATAAAGTCATACTTCTGAATATTAGTTTGTTTTAAAATGTTTTTTTTTAATTTATTTTAGATTGTAAAGAGTTTTCTTTGACTGTTCTGTTTCATGTGACAGCAATTTTTACATCGGTGCACAATGTGGTAGATCACTATTTGACAAAGATGACACAGGCACTTCATTTGAACGGAGAAACTCAAGCAAGGGATTGATGCATATTCTATTAAATCTGTAGATCAAGTTGTACTGTGGTACAATAAAACATAAATTGTAAAGTGTGTCTGAAGTCTCATGATTAAGTTCTGATTAAGAAAGAAAAAAAAATTAGGCACATCTTTGGCCAGCACGGCCCACTAGAGGGAACCCTTTGTAAAAATATCCACACCAATGTTCTTCAGCTTCCTCTTTTGGGGGTTGTCCAAAAGACAGACGAGGGAGCACTTTCACATTCTTTAATGTTTGTGTCACTCATTTGTTGCCTCTTAACGCACATTTACATGTGAAGGTTACATGTGAAGGACACTGGATGTGAAAAACAAACCCCGGAATGCAATTTTTGTATTGGTTTTAAATATGGTTCTGATCAGGGATTATTTAATGCATCTAGCATTTACTTTTTTTGATAAATGGTCTTCAAATTCTTAATAAAAATTTGTTCAACATGAAGTGCAACTCCACCCCAAAAATTAAAATTTACACTGTCAAGAGCAATTGAGAGAATGAAACAAGCAGATTTATCTCTTAAGTTTTATCTGTTACAGCTACGATGAGCTTGTTGCTTTATTATTCAGAAAAAGGTTCAGACTGAAGGATTTTTAGAACTAGAAGTTATTCACATTTAAGGACTTCTTTGTTAAAACAAAACGATAAACCGACAAGTTAGATTAATTACGATTTGATTGTGAACACAAACTGTCCAAATCCACAAAGTTTAAGTGTTATTTCCTCAAGGAACTTGAAACATCTGTTTAAGGTTTCAATAAAATAACAGCTGCAATTGATGCAGCGAGGAAACTGGATGACAAAAGCAAAAGTTGCTTGTGAAGTATAATTAAACTTAATGTGACATCAAATTGTAAAATATTACACTAAAATTACTGATTTTATATAAAACCTTTAATATGTCATGAACACTTGGAATGCTGGAGTGGATTCACAGTCATCCAGGACATGATGCAAAAAAAAATGCATAAATAAAACTAGAATTAACAGAGAATAAATGCAAAAGAAGTTGAGTTATTTAATTGTTATGTAAATTACTGCTTTAGATGTATATGGTACTTTGAACCCTTTTAGGCAAAGACATGAAACAATGTTTTCTAAATTAATTAAACAATACAAAAAGTGTTCTACAGATATAGTATGTGTTTTATATTTCTGATAAATTGAGTATTTCCTCTTTTACCTTAAAAAATAAAAGTAACAAGACAAGAAATCACTTTCTGGTGCAGCTCAGCTAAAATATGGCTACATAAACATCCACATATAGGCCAAGCTGATAAAAAAGTTGTATTTTTAAAGCTTTTATGCAATTTCCAAGTTAAGTAACTTTGGTGTAATTTTTAGGTAACTTTCCTGTTACTTCACCACTCTTGTCTACATTTTAACAGTATGTTAACATCCAGAAGGTCACTAATCTTCGAAAAGACGAGTTCGTTTTTTTAAAAATTCACCTTAGTGTTAATTTTCGTAATAAATGTTCGTGTATTCACCATGTGTCATGCCCCTTTTAAGAAAAACGAGAAGCAGTGACGGTGACGTCCGCTGCGCTCAGACAGACGCTGCTGGAGGCGAAGAAGAAGAAGAAGAACTCTCCCAACTTGACACTTGCGGAGCGGCGAGAGAGACAGCGAAGCCAGAGACGGTGAGTGCGGTGCCAAACTTTACTCCGAGCTAAACGCGGTCGGACAAGTCGCCTGTGCTGGAAAAAGCGTGTCGTGGACACCCGTGGGGTAGGACACGGACGCGACAGAGTGATCGGCGCGCTTCGTTTAACCCGGTAAAGGAGAAAATTTGTCTTAAAGTTAAAACAATAATAAGAATAAAAAAATAACGGAGCGTGCACTCCCATTTTTAGTCAAGGCCGGGCGGAAGGGCAGGTAACGGTAGCTATCGCGGCTGTGTCTTTTCCCAGGGAAAGTACACGCAAATAAATCGGGTTAGTTTCCAGTTCGGCGTGCTTGGTTGACATTTTTGGAATCTGAAATGTTCTCGGTTGTTGCATGCTTTCTGAAAAGGTCGGTGTGTTTTAAAAACACGCAGAGGAAAGGAACGTGTCGGCTAGTTAGCTCGCCTGCTAACGAGCCGCAGCTAGCGGTTTGATGAAGTGTCGGTGTTGTGCCGAAAAAAGCAACCCTCCACTATAAGAAATTGCCCACACACATAATATCAAAATTAACTGTGGATAATTCTGTGCTCACGGGTAGTCAAAAGTACAAATCCCGCTTGTCCCGTTTGATATTTGTCTAACATGTTTTGATCAATAAAATGCTTTCTACTAGTGGGGTTGCTTTTCCCGGCGGGGGTGCTTTTTTCGTCACAACACTATAGCATTTAAGCCAGCTAGTTAGCGATATTTTGCTAATAAGCTTCATAATGAGGGTAGCTGTGATTGCTCGTAGACAGATGTTGTATTTAATTGCCGGAATTGACTATTTTTTTTTGGATTGTAAGGATTTAGCGTTAAGCAGGCTTACGGTTTAAAAAATGTTGTGATAAGCACCCGTCGTGCAGTGTAACCACAGATTGCAGGGATTTAGCATGACCTGGAATGATGGGCATATGTTAAGCAAATTAGGTAGAATCGCAGTGAGATAACCTAACTTCCTCTTGTACGTGTTATCAGCCCTTTGCAGAATATTTCTTGCTACAGGGACAGTGATGTAGAACAGCAAAGGTGTGTGCTCCATCCTCAAATTATAAACACGCAGCAGCTCAGCTGCATTAAGGACCGTGGGTCACGTTTCCCTGTGAAGTAGACGTGTCTGCAATGGGGATAATTGTCTCAAATATGTTAGTTTTTATTTAATGATACTCTACCATGTACATTTCTGTGTAAAACATTGAGTCTTTACTCTTTTTTTCTCAAAGAGAAGACTTGAAAGCTTTCTTGTAATATTTTAAAATGCTGTTGAGCAATATTTATTGAGACTTTCTGAAGAAAATTCAGTTTTCTTATTATCAGTCTACCTGACCATTTAAATGGAATGCTTTTAGGTCTTCTATAACACAAACTGATAGATATTAAGTAATACTATTTAATTTATTAGATATTATATTAAGTAATATAATAAATGGACAGATATTAAGTAATACTGTAGTACCAGCAACGTGATTTTTAAAAAGCCATTAAATGAAAACATGTGATAGATGGATCCTTTGAAAGACGAGGTGTCTTTCAGGGCTTTGTTTTTCTATTTCTTGCAGGCATGGCTGTGACAGTTTTTTCAGTTTTGTATTTTTTTTTTTTGTATTTTATTTTTTCATTTTTAGGACTGACATATGTCCTTTTGACCCCCATTTGTCCACTTTCATCCTTTTTAGTACACAGCACAAACATGGACATGACTGACCAAATGTGAAAGCTGTTAAAGTAATGAGACAAAAAAAACACATTTGAATTTGAAAAAGCTTTGATAGCTGTTGATTAAGACCACTTATAACAGTTTCCAAAAAGTCTGGCCTCTTGGAAACAAAGCGTAAAGGAATTATTAGGCATACTTTTCCATAGTATTGTATCTCACAGTGACAAGGATTTAAAGATGAAAAATGACATTAACTTCCCTCCTAAAAAGAAAAAAAAACCCCTATCCTCCTGTCTGGAGTCTTTAACAGGAACAGAGATTGGAAGGGTTATTTTAGTTGTTAGCTGCTCCTTTTCCATCCTATCAGCACGAAGGCTTCTTGTGCTTTGGAAAGAGGATGTGGTTACAGGTCAAGGCTCAGAGCCTCATATGCATCCAGTTGACAGTTACAGGTCTTTGTCATAATAAACCACAGTTAAGTTTTTGGTGCTTTGTTGCATTTTCACTTTGACTCAATGAGGCATTCAGGATTATAGTGGATGTGAAAAACAGGACCCCTTTTCTTTTTTTTTTTTGTATTTTATATGTGGGTAAGGGGTATTTTTGGCTACAATAATCCATATTTTAAGGGTTTTGTCAGAAAAATATCTAATACTTAACTATCCTCTCTTCCAGTAGTTACCACTGGAAAAAAATGTTCTAAGCAACCGTTGGCAGTAATGATGTGTTTTTATTGTCTTGTAAATACCTAATTTCCTGGGGAACTTTATGAAGTAGAGCTATGGAACTAATTAGGATAAATTAGAGACGAGGTTCATTTAATATACCACTTAAGTTAATTAATTTCAATATATGGCTTAACTAGTTAGACTTATCAACTGCAACGTCTGTACAGCCAGTGACATTTGTAGAAAAAAAAAGCTTGAGAAATGCCATCTTAACTGCATCTCTGCTCTTCACAGGCCACCTCAAGTTGGTGGTTTTATGATTTTGCTTACTTTGAAGTAGTTGGCCTTGTGGTGATGACGAGTACCTAGATGCTTAATCTCTCTTTCTCACACATCTACACATCAAAAACAATAAGCATTTCCTGACCCACTATACCAATCTGCTTGTTTCTGCTACTAAATTTGAGTGTTTTCTTCAAACTCTCTTAAGATGCACAAGCATTGGGAAAACAAAACAAACAAAACAAAACAAAAAAAAAAAAAAAAACACACACACATGCCAGAGTTGGTGTTGCTGCTGCTGCTTCAACCAGCGGATGTGTGCATCTGCTCTGAGGGCTAAGATACAGAGGACAGCTGTCAGTCTTCCCATCCTGCTGAGTCAGTTGCTGTGACAGCTTCACTGCTGTCTGATCAGCCTCAGTAGACCAGGAAACAGTGGTTCCTGGATGCTAGGGTTTCATTGTGAAACGTCCTGTTCCTTCAAAACCCCTCTACATTTTATCCTGCCTCGCTTTTGCTGCATGCTCTTGCTACCAGCACCACCAAACCCAGTTTCCAGCCTTAGATGGATACATACCTTTGGCTTCAGCGGGTGAGTGATGCGGTGATGTCATGGAGCAGCGTGTTTTCTGTGGGATGTGGCTTTCCTTTACTCCTTACTGGCTGGAGGTTACTACGAGAGCAGAGGAATGACAGCGGCATGTTTGTTTTGCTGGAAATGACAGTGTGTTGTTGAGGGTAATGAAGAGAGGGATTTTGTTTTAAAGACCGCTGTCCTTAAATGGCCCGTTTGCGTGTGTG